TACAGTGCAGTGGCACGATCATGGCCCACTGCAGCCTTGACCTCCCGGGCCCAAGTGATTCTCTCACCTCAGTCTCCCAAATAGCTGGGGTTACAGGTGCATGCACCACACCTGGCTTTTTTTTTTTTTTTTTTTTTTTTAGATGGAGTCTTGCTCTGTCACCCAGACTGGAGTGCAATGGCACGATCTCAGCTCACTGCAACCTCCCCCTCCCAGGTTCAAGTGATTCTCTGCTTCAGCCTTCTGAGTAGCTGGGATTACATGCACTCGCCACCATGCCCGGCTAATTTTTGTATTTTTAGTAGAGATGGGGTTTCACTACGTTGGCCAGGCTGGTCTTGAACTCCTGACCTCAGGTGATCTGCCCACCTCGGCCTTCCAAAGTGCTGAGATTACAGGCATGAGCCACCACACCTGGGCTTTTAAAAAATTATTATTTATAATTTTTAGTAGAGATGATGTCTTACTGTGTTGCCCAGGCTGGTCTCAAACTCCTGGGTTCAAGTGATCCTTCTGCTTTGGCCTCCCAAAGTGCTGGAATTACAGGCATGAGCCACCTGCTCTGCCTCTATTCTTTACTCTTTCCTTCTGCTAGCTTTGGTTTGGCGTGTACTTCTCTTTCTAGTTCTAGGGAAAATTTTGGTTATTGATTTGTGGTCTGCCTTTTTTAATGTAGGTGTTTATAGCCATAACTTTCCTTGTTAGCACTGTTTACACTGTATCCCATAAGTTTTGGCATGCTGTGTTTTTTTGTTTGTTTTTGAGACAGGGTCTTGTTTTGTCACCCATGCTGGAGTGCGTAGGTGTGATCTTGACTCACTGCAACCTCCACTTCCTGGGTTCAAGTGATCCTCCTACCTCAGCCTCCCCAGTAGCTGGGACCACGGACATGTTCCATTATGCCCAGCTAATTTTTTTTCTTTTTGTATTTTTGGTAGAGGCAGGGTTTCACTAGTTTGCCCAGGCTGGTCTCAAGGTCCTGAGCACAAGTGATTGGCCTGCCTCAGCCTCCCAAAGTGCTGGGATTAGAGGTGTGAGCCACTGTGCACAGCCTGCATTTTTGTTTTTACTCATCTCAAAGTATTTTCTAATATTACTTGTAATTTCTTCTTTGACCAATTGGTTAAGAGTGTGTTGTTTAATTTTCACATATTTATGAATTTTCCAGTTTTCCTTCTGTTATTGATTTTTAGTTTCAATCCGTTGTAGTAAGAGATATTTTGTATGGTTTTTTTTTTTTTTTTTTTTTTCCTGAGGCAAGGTCTTGCTCTGTCACCCAGGCTGGAGTACAGTGGCACAACCTTGGCTCACTGCAGTCCTGACCTCCTGGGCTCAAGTAATCCTCTCACCTCAGCCTCCTGAGTAGCTGGGACTACAGGCATGTGTCACTATGACCAGCTAATTTTTGTGCTTTTTGGAGAGATAGGGTTTCATCATGCTGCCCAGGCTGGTCTCGAACTCTCGAGCTCAAGCAATCCACTTACCTTGGCCTCCCAAAGTTTTGGGATTACAGGCATGAGCCACTGTGCCTGGCTGGTTTTCATCTTTTAAAAATGTATTGAGGTTTGTTTTCTGACCTAGCATATGGTCTATCCTGGAGAATGTTCCATGTACACTTAAGAAAAATGTATATTCTGTTGTTGTTGGATGAAGTGTTCTTTATATGTCTATTAGGTCTAGTTGGCTTACAGTGTTGTTCAATTCTTGTTTCCTTACTGATCTTCTATCTTGTTGTTCTGTCCATTATTGAAACTGTGGGGTATTGGAATTTACAAGTATTATTGTAGAACTATTTCTATCATCAAATTTGTCTCTTTTTGCTTCACATATTTTGAGGCTCTGTTGTTGGGTGTGTATATGTTTATAATTGTTTTATCTTCCTGATGGATTGACCCTTTTATCATATCCTTGATAATGTCCTTCTTTGTATTCTTGTAACAAGTTTAACGATTTTTACCTTAAAGTCTATTTTACCTGATATTAGTAGAGCTACTACATCTTTTTTGGGTAAATATTTGTATGGATTATCTTTCCAACTTTTTACTTTCAACTTGTTTGTGTATTTGGTTCTAAGGTGAGTCTCCTGTAGATAGCCTATAGTTGGTTCATATTATTTTTATCCATTTTCCTAATCTCTGCCTTTTAGTCAGAAGTTAATCTATTTCATCTAAAGTAATTACTGATAAGGAAAGACTTACCTATGCCATTTTGTTATTTATTTTCTATATGTGCTTTTTGGTTTCTAAATTCCTTCATTACTTCCCTTTTTTGTGATTAATTGATTTTTTTCTAGCGTAACATTTTGATTCCTTTCTCTTTTCTTTTTCTTTATATTGCTTAGTAGTTTTTTCTTTAGTAGTTACCTGTGGGTTATAATTAGTCAACTTTATAATGATCAAGGGTGAATTAATGCCAACTTAGTTTTAATAGTACAAAGCAAAAATTTTTACTATAAAAACTGCTCCTTTTCAGCTCTATTCTCTCCTTTTTGTTGTTATTATCACAAATTATCTCTTTATACATTGCATATCCATTAACACACATAACTATTGTTTTGTGCGTTTGTCTTTTAAATTGAATAGGGGAAAAAGAGGAGTTAGAAACCAAAAACTGCATTATTGGACTTTACCTATGTAGCTACTTTTTCACTGGTCTCTACTTATTTATATGACTTTGAGGTACTTCCTAGTTTCCTTTCCCGAGTAGTTAGGACTACAAGTGTGAGTCACTGCGCCAGCTTCTGTATTTATATTTCTGAAATGTGTGTGGTTTTATTTATTTATTTATTTACTTATTTATTTATTTTTGAGACGGAATCTTGCTCTGTTGCCCAGGCTGGAGCGCAGTGGCACAATCTCGGCTCACTGCAAGCTCCGCCTCTGAGTTCATGCCATTCTCCTGCCTCGCCTCCTGAGTAGCTGGGACTACAGGTGCCCGCCGCCATGCCCAGCTAATTTTTTATATTTTTAGTAGAGACGGGGTTTCACCTGTGTTAGCCAGGATGATCTCGATCTCCTGACCTCACGATCTGTCCACCTTGGCCTCCCAAAGTGCTAGGATTACAGGCTTGAGCCACCGTGCCCAGCCTGAAATGTGTTTTTTAAAAAGGAGTGAAGAGGACCCTGGATGGTTGATGATATACTACTACTGACTGAGGAATCTGATTGATTTTCCAATTCTTCATACATAATTTCTAGAAAACAAAAATAAAATAAAGGTAATAACTAGTAGAGCAGAAGTTGAAAATAAAACTTTCAACAGATACATGGGGAAAGTGGGTAAAGAGAGAGATGTACAACAAAGTACATTTCTTTGATTTAGTGCTGTTTCTTCCTCTGCCTTGATTCTTCATTAAAGTTTAAATAGCATCATATGCCATAATGTCAGAAAACACTCAATTTACTGGTTCATTTTCAAAGGACAGATTATGTGCTTTTACTTTAGTTGTACCAATTTTTAGCTCCTTTAGGAATGGAGCCCATCATCCTGGAGTGTTAAAATGGGCAAAAAGAAAGATAAACTCATTTTAGCTGTTCTTTTCTAAAGGTATCCTCCAACATCGATCCAGGCAACTATGTTGAAATGAATGATTCAATCACCCACCTACCTTCTAAAGTGGTGATACAAGATATTACTATGGAGCTACACTGCCCACTGTGCAACGATTGGTTCCATGACCCACTGATGCTAAGCTGTGGCCACAACTTCTGTCAAGCCTGTATCCAAGACTTCTGGAGGCTGCAAGCAAAGGAAACATTCTGTCCTGACTGTAAGATGCTATGTCAGTATAGCAACTGTACATTCAACCTTGTACTGGACAAGTTGGTAGAGAAGATTAAGAAGTTACCCCTACTCAAGGGCCATCCACAGTGCCCAGAGCATGGAGAGAACCTGAAACTGTTCAGTAAACCAGATGGGAAACTGATCTGCTTTCAATGCAAGGATGCTCGGTTGTCTGTGGGGCAGTCTAAGGAGTTCCTGCAAATCTCTGATGCTGTCCATTTCTTCACGGTGGGTGAGCCCTGGGCCTTGAACAATCCCTTAGAAAAACTAGGAAAAATATTTTATAGGGCTTCTTCTTTCTTTCAACCCCATCCCTTTATTCAAATGATGATTAGAAAACCCAGACTGCTCAGAAAGTACAACGTATCTTGCAAAGTTCTTTTTCTAGAGTTGCTGCTTATAGGAAAGGAAGTGGAGGAGCCCTGGCTTACTCCCTCAATTAAATCTGTACCTAAACTCTGCCATGGTAGCACTCTGCTAAACACTGTGTAGAATATGGATATATAAGATATTGCTCTTGTTATTAAAAAATTCAAAAATTGGTTAAGTTTAAAATGAAGAAAACAACAGAAGCAATGTAAGATAGTCTACTATTAAAAGTTAAATTTTGTCACATTTGTAATTCTTAAGGGTTTAGAATTTCTGAAATGACTAGAGAAAGATGAAATTGTCAGGGGACATATAGTGAAAGAAAGGGAAAGGACTTGAACTGGGAAATCATTTGGATTTGAAAGGGCAGAAGGAAGAAACAAGTGTTCCAAGTGAGAACAACACAAGTAAAATTATAGATTCTGAGAATAGCATATAACTAGAGTGGAAAATGTGTAAAGTTCTATTCCTTTCTTCAAACCCCTGTAGCTAGCTATTAAGAGAGAAAAACTAAGTTTTAAGCTGTAATTCTTTTTTTTTTTTTTTTTGAGATGGGGTCTCACTATGTTGCCCAGGCTGGTCTCAAACTCCTAGACCCAAGTGATCCTCCCATCTCAGTCTCCCAAAGTGCTGAGATTACAGATGTGAGCTGCCACACCTGGCCTCTTTTTTTTTTCTTTTCTTTTTCACAATTCTTGAACGAGACAAGAACGATGATACAAGGGAAGGGGAAGATTTTTGCAGCAAGAGCTTGCTTTTTTCTTGCACACTGGGGCCTTGGGGAAGATATCGTTTATGGTCCTTCATCTCCTGAGTCAGTGTGGGTTAATTCTATTTGGTATTCCCAGGAGGAGCTTGCCATCCAACAGGGTCAACTGGAGACAACTCTGAAGGAGCTTCAGTCCCTGAGGAACATGCAGAAGGAAGCTATTGCTGCTCACAAGGTGAGGAGCAAGAAAGAGGGGTTATGAGATAGAACTGGAACACACCCTCCATGTAACTTCAGCTATGGGTGCAAAGGTGCCTAACACATATTATCAACACACTGAATGGTACCTAGGCTATAGAATTGGAAAACTGAGACTGTAGGGTGGAAAGGAATATGGTGGTGGAGTAGGTTCCTAATAGCTGACCAACAGAGCAGATAAACCTTTCCCCTAATATGCTGATCTTTTTGATGGTTCAGTCACCAGGTGACTGTTATGGGATTGAAATGTGTCTGGTCTTTGGCTTTATCTATGGCAAAAAAAAAAAAAAAGGAATTTATATAAAAAAAATCAATCACTAAAGATTGCTATGTCCAAAGAAATACCTTTATTTTCTTTGAGTTTATAACCAGACACCTCTGGACTAGGTCTCCAAGGTTGTAAGCTTTTTCCATCTGATTTGATCTTTCTTAGCTTCCTCCAAACTAAATAAAGCTATTGTCTTCACTTTCAACTTCATAGACACTCTAGGACAACATTAATAGCTAGAGATCTGGCAAAGCAGCCCCTAGGCTGGGGGTGCTGAATTGGACGTTCTTTTTCTTTATTCATTATTCTATGGAGAAGAGCCTTCTCAGGTATTTGGCATCTGGAAGAAAAAATATGTAGACTCAGGGAAAGAAGATGGATATATGGAAGTAATGGTGTCTCCAGAAAATCTTGTTCCTGTTGTAAAAGTTCCTATTAGTGTGAGCGTTCATTCATTCATTTAACAACTATTTATTGAGTGGGTCATAATACTAGATATTGGGGATGGGAGACAGCTGTTAATTAAACAGTCCCAACAGTAATAATAAAATAACAACTGTGATAAGTACTATAAATGAAAGTATAGGCTATGATGATAGCATATAAATGGAGAACATAATCTAGACTGGGGAGGGAGTTGTGTTCTCTGAAGAAGTCACTTATTAAAAATTGAGAATTGAAGGATAAGTAACTCACCCAAGTGAACTGGGTGAGTGGGAATATGAAGGAGATGGCCTGGAGAAGAATGTTCTAGGAATAGAAAACAGCATATGGAAAAGTCCTGAGACAGAAAGTTAGCTCCTATGTTAAACAGAGAAAAGGCCAATAAAGCTGTAACATGCTAAGCAAGATGATATTGAAGAGGTGGATATGGGCTTACTGTAACCTCAAACTCTTGGGCTCAAGAAATCTTCCCACCTCAGCCTCCTGAGTATCTGGGACTAGTTTGCCACACCTGGCTAATTATTTTATTTTTGGAGAGACTGGGTCTCACTATGTTGCCCAGTCTTGAACTCCTGTTCTAAGTAATCCTCCCAGCTTGGCCTCCATAAGTGTTGTAATTACAGGTATGAGCCACTGTGCCTAGCCAAGACTATCTTAAGGGTGCAATAATAATTATGGACCATGGAATCCAAGCTCGATAAGAGAGGACATGAAGGTAGAAATTCCTGAATAGAAATGGAGGGATCGGTGAATAGGAGGTTTCAATGAGATCCAATAATTGTTGCAATAGGAGTGTCTGAGTGGGCCTGGTGCATAAAAAGTTATTTTGGAGATGATGCAATTGCTGGGGGTGATAAAATCCTAGGTGAGACTATAGGAATGAATCAATAAATGTGGAAATCACTAGACATGAGGAGAATGAGGAACTGAGAAGCCAGGATGTCAAATAGTTTACCTGTGAGGATGTTGAGTTCACCCAAGGAAAAAGATGCAAGTGTAACAGTGGCATTCCCCAAGTTCTGATTTCTGGATAAGGATAGTTCTTCCAGCCTCCCAATACTCCCAGTCTAACAGTACCACTTGGAAGCTTTTGGTTTACCAATCTAGGAGGGTATTATCATTCATTCTAGAATGTTTGATTAACTCCACAGTCTTATTTAATATGGCATTGGTTACCATCTGAGTACTGCAATAGGAGTCACTTTTGCAAAAGAGGTCACTTTTGCCTATTTCATCCTGAACTACTACATTAGTTGGAAAAGGAATAAGTCTCCCAAAGGACTCATTTTAGTATGGTTGAATTTGATATTCAGTAGCCATTTGTATACATTTTTCTGTGATGATATTTCCCAAGTGTGTGAGTGTTGGTGGTGTGGGTCTCCATCCCCAAGCACTAGTCTCTGTAATAACTATGGTGATAATCATGGAGGTTTCCAGGAAAACAAGCTACATCTGCAGCAACATGTGTCCATGGAGTTTCTAAAGCTGCATCAGTTCCTGCACAGCAAAGAAAAGGACATTTTAACTGAGCTCCGGGAAGAGGGGAAAGCCTTGAATGAGGAGATGGAGCTGAATCTGAGCCAGCTTCAGGAGCAATGTCTCTTAGCCAAGGATATGTTGGTGAGCATTCAGGCCAAGACGGAACAACAGAACTCCTTCGACTTTCTCAAAGTGAGAATCCACACCAATATGATTATGGGTACCTTCCTACCTAGAGGGGGGAAGAGGTTTGGAAAGAATGCAGAGGTGGCTTTTCACATCCAGGGAAAACAAAACAAAACAAAACAGTCAAGTAGTGCTTTTAAGTTTCTCTGGAAGAAAAGGAGGAGGCTACTTCAGCTATATGCACAGCAGAAAGCTTTACTTTCATCCTCTTAGGAAATAAGATTTTTAAATTCCATTATTAATAGTATATATTAGTGGCTTGATATTTTTCCATAAAGAGCTTGACGCTTTATTTCTCAAAAATAAAAAATTTGCAGCATGAGTTGTATCTTTGGCTCTCAGCAATCATAAGTTGACCTGTCTGAAAAGCTGTTTTCTAACCTTTGCTTTCTTAAGCTTCACCTCTAAAGAAGCGTTGGTTACCATCTCAGCACTCAGAAGTTTAATTAGCTACAGTAAGGAAAAGTGGCCTTGGGAGTGGGATACCTACTGTGTTTTCCTTCTGAGACTATTTGAAAGTATAGGTAAAGATAGCTTAACCTTAAGTATTGTCTTATTGGCTTCTGCCTTGCTCCCTGTAGAAGGGAACTCTAGAAGGAGCAAAAGATCAGTTTAACCTGGGTTAGGATAAGGGATGAAGACTAGAAAAAGTGTACGAAGGGTGAAAGAAGTTGGTAGAGATGAGTTGGGGACCATCTGCACAAATTCTGGTGGTGGCTGGTATCACCAAAGAAATTTTGGGAGTTGATGAACAAGCATCTGATGTCTCTCTTTCTCCTTTCTTCTAGGACATCACAACTCTCTTAGATAGGTAAGTGTTTCCCTGTGGTACTCTTAATATCATTCCCTGAGTCTCTGGAGGATGTCTAAGGATAAATGATTTATGTCCCATGCAGCTTGGAGCAAGGAATGAGGGTGCTGGCAACCAGAGAGCTTATTTCCAGAAAGCTGAACCCTGGCCAGTACAAAGGTCCTATCCAGTACATGGTATGGAGGGAAATGCAGGACACTCTCTGTCCAGGTATCAGTGGGTAGTAACTATTGGTTCTTGAGGCTCCTAATCTATGTTTAATCTGTGGGACCTCTTCTGTGGCCCTAATTAGGTTTTTATAGTCTGGGATAGGGAAGGGGTACAGTTTGGCCAAAAGGAGGCTAGTTGGTATGACTGAATTTCTTCTAGTGCCATGACCTAAGAATTTATGACTTTGTGCTCGTAAATAGATACGAGTTTGTTATCAGGATTACTCATTAGCCTATGATTTTGACTGTTTTATGGAATGTGGCAACAGCCAAAATTTTATCTTGTTTTGCTAAATCAGCTATATGAATCCCAGGCTTCTCTGCTCTGAAGGAGGAGGAGGTTTCTGTACATACTCCTTGTATGCACACTGGGTCTTTATAGTTTCTCTTGTACTTGATGTTCATAGTGTAGAACATTTTAGAAGACTGTTTAGATCTTCAGTGCTTCAGAAGAAAACCAATAATTTAAATAAACCTACCTAAGAAGGACACTAAGTTTTTGTGTTCCTGCAGATACCAAAGGACTGAGCAAGACAAAAATAACACACATGGCATTTCAAGAACATCAAATAAAGTTCTAAATAAAAATCTTTATAGAAATAAAATTCTAAACAGAGTTTTTATAGAATTCATAGACTCATTATTATTATTGTTTATGGTTATTGATTTAATGAGAAATCACAAATAAATCCCTGATTTAATGAAAAATCACACATTTTTCCAGGTAATTGACATTGAAAAAAAATCAACTATACTGAGATATAGTTAACATAGAGTAAAATTAACCAATTTTAAGGGCGCAATTTGATGAGTTCTGATGTATACATACACTTACGTAAACATCGCCATAATCAAAATATGGAAGATTTTTATCACTCCCAAAAGTTCCTACATGCCTCTTTACAATCAATTTCTTCCTTCTACTCTCTGCCTTTAACATTCGCTGACATGTTTTATTTCACTTTAAATGTGTCTTTTCTAAATTTTTGTCTAAGTGATAGCATACATTATATAGTGTTTTGTATCTGTTTTTTTCACTTAGCACATTTTTTTTGTTTTTAATTTTATTTATTTATTTATTTATTTGAGATGGAGTCTCACTCCATTGCCCAGGCTGGAGTGCAGTGGCGCCTTCTCGGTTCACTCCAAGCTCCGCCTCCCAGGTTCACGCCATTCTCCTGCCTCAGGCTCTCAAGTAGTAGGGACTACAGGCGCCCGCCACCACACCTGGATAATTTTTTGTATTTTCAGTAGAGATGGGGTTTCACCGTGTTAGCGAGGATGGTCTCAATCTCCTGACCTTGTGATCTGCCCACCTCGGCCTCCCAAAGTGCTGGGATTACAGGTGTGAGCCACCACACCCGGCCGCATAATGCTTTTTGAGCACTTATGTTGTTCCATGTAACAATAATCATGATTATTCATTCAGTTTACTTATTCATGTACCAATTGATGGACATGGGGTAGTCCATGGTAGTTTTATCCATCCTGCAATTAATGAAAATTCATTTCTCTATATCCTTTCCAAAACTTGATATTGTCAATCTTTTTAATTTAAACCATTTTATTGAATGTACAGTAGTATCTCTTTTTTTTGGTGGGAGGGTGGGACGGAGTCCCACTCTGATGCCCGGGCTAGAGTACAGTGGTGCATCTCAGCTCACTGCAACCTCTGCCTCCGAGGCTCAAGTGATTCTTGTGCCTCAGACTAACGAGTAGCTGGAATTACAGGCATGCACTGCCATGCCTAGCTAATTTTTGTATTTTTAGTAGAGACGAGGTTTTGCCATATTGGTCAGGCTGATCTTGAACTTCTGGCCTCAAGTGATCCATCCACCTCAGCCTCCCAAAGTGTTGGAATTACAGGCATGAGCTGTGGTGCCCAGCTGCATATCCCTAATGAGCAACCTTGCTGAGCGTCTTTTCATGTGCTTCCTTGCCATTCATATATTTTTTTGGTTGTGTTCAATCTTTTGTCTATATTTTTATTAAATTGTTTTATTATTAAGTTGTAAAGGATACAAATCCTTTATCAGATATATATTTCTTAAATATTTTCTCTCCATGGCTTGCCTTTTTTTTTCTTTCTTTTTTTTTTTTTTTCTCGGCTCACTGCAAGCTCCGCCTCCCAGGTTCATGCCATTCTCCTGCCTCAGCCTCTTCCTGAATAGCTGGGACTACAGGTACCCGCCACCACGCCTGGATAATTTTTTTGCATTTTTAGTAGAGATGTGGTTTTACCATATTAGCCAGGATGGTCTCGATCTCCTGACCTCATGATCCACCCGCCTTGGCCTCCCAAAGTGCTGGGATTACAGGCATGAGCCACCGCGCCTGGCTGCTTTTTCATTTTCTAACAGGGTCTTTCAAAGAACAAGCATTTTAAATTTTAATACAGTCCAATTTACCAAGTGAGTCACTGACTGGTCATAAAACTCCTCAGGATGCTGCATGTATTTTGCAGCTCTATTATTTAGGTGAATACACTCTTAAGATTATTATCTTTTGATGACTCAATCTCACTAAAATTATAAAATGTTCATCTTTATCCCTGTGCAGTGGCACGATCTCAGCTCACTGCAAGCTCCGCCTCCCGGGTTCACGCCATTCTCCTGCCTCAGCCTCCCGAGTAGCTGGGACTACAGGCGCCTGCCACTATGCCCGGCTAATTTTTAGTATTTTTATTAGAGGCGAGGTTTCACCGTGCTGCCAGTATGGTCTCGATGTCCTGACCTCGTGATCCGCCTGCCTCAGCCTCCCAAAGTGCTGGGATTACAGGCATGAGCTACCATGCCTGGCCCTGAAGTCTGTTTTGTCTAATATAGTATTGTCACTCTAGTTTTCTTTAGATTTGTTTCTTTAATCAATCAAAATTATCTGTTTGCACAATACATGTTTTCCCATCACCTTACTTTTAACTTGTGTTTTTATATTTTAGGTATGTTTTATGTAGCAGGCATATAGTTTAGTCTTGCTTTTTTATTCAATCTGACAATCTCTGTCTGTCAATTGAAGTGTTTTGACTATTTACATTTAATGTTATTAGTAAAACTGGGCTTAAATCAACCATTCTGGTTATTTGTTTTTTAACCATACTATCTGACTTTTCTTCCTTTTTTTCTCTATACCTTCCTTCTTTTGGATTGAGTGCCTTTTAGCTTTCCCTTTCATCTTCTTCTTCTTTTTTTTTTTTTTTAAACAGAACCTTGCTGTGTCGCCCAGGCTAGAATGTATAGTGGCCTGATCTCGGCTCACTACAACCTCTGCTTACTGGGTTCAAGGAATCTTCCTACCTCAGCCTCCCCAGTAGTTAGAATGAAGGCATGCATCACCATGCCTGGCTAACTTTTTTTATTTGTTTTAAAATTTTTAGTAGAGATGGGGTTTCACCATGTTGGCCAGGGTGGTCTCCAACTCCTGACCTCAAGCGATTCACCTGCCTTGGCCTCCTAAAGTGCTGGGATTACAGGCATGAGCCACTGTGCCTAGTCTCTTTGACTAATTTTTTTTTTTTTTTTTTGAGATGGAGTCTCGCTCTGTCGCCCAGGCTGGAGTGCGGTGGCACAATCTCGGCTCATTGCAAGCTCTGCCTCCCGGGCTCACGCCATTCTCCTGCCTTAGCCTCCCGAGTAGCTAGGACTACAGGTGCCTGCCACCATGCCTGGCTAATTTTTTGTATTTTAGTAGAGACGGGGTTTCACTGTGTTAGCCAGGATGGTCTCGATCTCCTGACCTCATGATTCGCCTGCCTCAGCCTCCCAAAGTGTTGGGATTACAGGTGTGAGCCACCGCGCCCGGCCCTCTTTGGCTAATTTTAAGACTTGCTTTTTGTCACTTGCTTCCATCAATTTGATTATATGGGGTCTTGGTGTGATTTTCTTTGTATTTATTCTGATTGTGCTTCATTAAGCTTCTTGGATCTAAGAGTTTATAATTTTCAACAAATTTGGAATAATATCAGCTGGTATTTCTTCAAATACTTTTTTACCAACCCCTTTTCCTCCTCTCCTTCTTGGAGTCTAATTTTACATATTTTAGGCAACTTGATACTGTCAAGTTGTCTCATGTCATCAATATTCAGTCTTTATTTTAGCCTTTTTTTGCCTCCCACTTTAAATGGTTTCTATTGTTATTCAAGTTCTCATATTTTCTTCTGCACAGTCTAATCTTCTCTTAATATTGTTCAAGATATTTTCATTTTATATACATTTCATTTCATCTCTAGAAATTTCATTTGGGTCTTTTAATATCTTTCCTTTCTCTTCTCACCATGTTCATGCCTTCCTCTACATTCTTAAAAAAATGGAAGACATTTATCCATTTTAATGTCCTTGTCTGCTAATTCGATCATCATTGTCATTTCTGGGCCTGATTTTATTGTTTGATTGTTCTCCTGACTGAGAGTCATATTTTCCTGCTGCTTTGCTTGGCTAGTAATCTTTTTCTTTTTTTTTTTGAGCACAGAGTCTTGCTCTGTCGCCCAGGCTGGAGTGCAGTGGCCGGATCTCAGCTCACTGCAAGCTCCGCCTCCCGGGTTCACGCCATTCTCCTGCCTCAGCCTCCCGAGTAGCTGGGACTACAGGTACTCACCACCTGGCCCGGCTAGTTTTTTTGTATTTTTTAGTAGAGACGGGGTTTCACCGGGTTAGCCAGGATGGTCTCAATCTCCTGACCTCATGATCCACCTGTCTCGGCCTCCCAAAGTGCTGGGATTACAGGCTTGAGCCACTGTGCCTGGCCATCTTTTTCTTTTTAATGGGCTTTATTTTTTAGGACACTTTTAGATTTTTTAATTTTACAGAAAAACTGAGAAGATAGTATAGAGTTTTTTATATGCCCCATCCTCAGTTTTCCTTATTATTAACATCTTAGATTTAACATTTTTAACAACTAATGAACCAAAATTGATACATTATTAACTAAAATCCACAGTTCCTTTAGATTTTCTTAGTTTTTACCTAAGTCATTTTTCTGTTTCAGGTTCCTATCTAAGATGCCACATTACACTAAGTTGTCATTTTCTTTAGGCTCCCCTTGGCTATGACAGTTTCTCAAACTTGCCTTAATTTTTATGACTTAGACAGTTTTGAGGAGTACTGGTCATATATTTTGTAAGGATGCTGCACTATTGCAATTTGTGTGATGTTTTCCTCATAAAATTTGGGTTATGAGTTGGGAGAGGAAGACAGTAGCGTTAAAGTGCCATTGTCATCACGTCATATTAAGTGTTCATACTGTCAACATGATTTATGACTATTGATGTTGACTTTCATCACCTGGCTGAGAAAGTGTCTGTCAGGTTTCTCTACTGTACTCTTTTTTCCTCCTTCTACACTTGTATGCTTTGGAAGTCAGTCATTGTGCACAGCCCATGCTTAAGGAGTGGGTAGTTATGCTCCCTCTCCCTGAGGGTAGAGTGTTAATGTAAATTATTTGAAATTTTGCTGCCCGGAGATTTGTCTCTTCTGGTTGGTAATTTTTTACTGGATGCCAAATACAATGAATTTCATATTGTTCATACTGATGAATTCATATTGGTGAATTTTATATTTGCTGGATTTTGTTGTAGTTCTTTCAGTTCTATTGAATTTAACTCTGGCATGCAGTTAACATTGTATGAAATCATTTGTTCCTTTTGAGGCTTAAATAAAGCCTTGTTAGAGTGGTTCAAGAACAGCCTTTAATCTAGCGCTTAGTCCATTTTCTAAAGTAATATACCCTTCTGATTACTCTACCTGATGTTGACATATTATGACATTTTTCCATTCTGGTTGGCAAGATTGAAAATTATTCCCAGCCTTGTGTGAGCTGCAGAAATTGTTCGGTCTACTGATTTCTGGAGATTCTTTCTCTGGCCTTGATGAGTTTCACTACATGCATGTGCAGATCAGTACTCAGCCACAGCCTTGAGAGAATCCCTTTGTAGATGTTCAAAAGTTTCTGTGAAGTTCCCTCCTCTGTGTTACTCTGCTCAGCAAACTGTAGCTGCCTTAGTATGATACAGAGTTTTTCTTCCTGTATACTTTGCTCTGTAAAGCCAAACTTCACTTCTAGCAATCTTTTAAAGTGCAAACTGATTTTTAAATTTTTGGTATAATTTTACATCAAGAAAACCAAATGAGATTTATTTAATATATGACTATTAATAATGTATTATTTATCTATATACTCTCCCTCTATACAGAGTGGGAAATTGTTTTTCTATGGTAACTGTGGTCAGACCTTTGTAAAATATATTCCATACTTTTTATTTCTAAGTCTTTGCTTATTTTGTAGATCCATATATTCTCCTTTTCTGCCAGGCTTATAAATTAGGCTGTTGCTTTAGAGCAAGAGCTGGCACTTTTTCTGTAAAGGTTTGAAGAGTAAATATTTTAGGCTTTGCAGGTGTATTGTCTTTGTTGCAACTACTTAACTCTGCTCTTGTAGTGAAAAAGAAGCTACAGACAACACATAAATGAATGGTCATAAATGTACTCCAATAAAACTTTACTTACAAAGTAGGCAGTGGGCCAGATTTGACCTGTTGGTTGTAGTCTGCCTATTCTAGCTTAGGGAATTATTCAATTTAAAATATTTGCATGAACAAATGCCCAAACAATGTGGAGTGAACAATATGGGGAAAAAGCATTCTAGGACAAGGGAAGAAACTGTAAGGACCCTGAAGTAGGAATGAACTTCATTATGTTCAAGGAACTGCCAAAAGGCAAGGGTGGATGAATCAAAATAAATGAGTGAGAGTGTGGTAGGAGATGTAGTAGAGAGGTAGGTAAATCATGTGGCTCTTTTTTCCTCTGTAAGGACTCTGGATTTTATCTCAGATGTGGTGGTAAACATACAAGTATGTTGAGCAGGAAAATGGCATGATCTCATTCATGATATGTATAGAATAGGGTGCAGATGGGCAAGAGGGGAAACAGAAGAGTAAAAAGCTATTGCAGTAGTTCCAGGCCAGTGATATTTCTGGAAGTAGTCAGAAGTGTTTGGGCAGAAGATATATTTTGAAGGTGGAGCTGACAGAACTTTTTGTTATACGAATACGGCATGAGAAGGAAAGAGGACAAAAAGCTGACTCATAGGAATCTTCAGAGCCAATGCAGGCTGAACTAGCTAGAGGTGTGTCAGAGGCTTAGCAAAGAGAGCAGACTGGGATTCCAAAAGGTTGCTAAAAAGTCTTTATGATACCTCCAAAGAAAACCTAGTCCTCACATCAGAAAGATTAACAACCCAAAGTGAACGGGGATATGTAAGCAGATAGAGATTTAGCCTATATGGAAAAATTTAAGATTCTTAATTCTTCAAAGTTGGAAAGAAAAGCCCTTGGGATGATGGAAAAGACTCAGGTTTTTCTGAGAAGATAGAGTTAGACTAGAGTTCATGACTAGCCTGGCCAACGTGGTGAAATCCTGTCTCTACTAAAATTACAAAAAAATCACCTGAGTGTGGTGGTGCATGCCTGTAATCCTAGCTACTCGGGAGGCTGAAGCAGGAGAATTGCTTAAATCTAGGAGGCAGAGGTTGCAGTGAGCTGAGGTTGTGCAACTGCACTCTAGCCTGGGGGACAGAGCAAGACTCTATCTCAAAAAATAAAAAACAAAAATAAAAAAGAGAGAGAGGAAAAAAAAAACTAGACTTTTTGCTTCCAAGGATAAATAAATCCAATAATAGCAAATGCATGAATGCACACATATATGTATCTGTGTCCATGGTATGAACACACATAGATATTATGTCTTCTTTATCAAATTTCATGCCAAAGTCCAATGATCTCACATCTGGAATTTGTGTCATCCTCTTACTGGTCAGCTTTCAACCTCTCTTCATTTAGCCTAGATATTCTTTTTTATACTGCTGCCCTTTGAATTGTCTAAACCAATGCTGTAAAATTATCTGTGATGAAGGGCCAATTTAAAAAGTCTCAATCTGTCATGGACTGATACTTTTGTAGAATACAATATAAATTACTTGAAAAAGTAAAATTAAAAAAGGAAAGATTACAAAGTATACAACCCTAATTTTGTAATTATTAGATTCAACTGACATACAATTACTGTCAATTTAGTATGAAGGTTTCTAAAAGTTTACTCTTAATTTCTATCTATCTTTGTCCCAGACTGTTAACCACATGGTATGTGGACCACGTTATGAGTAGCAATGATATAAACCACTCCAGATCTCAAAAATCTCATCATCTGTTAAACAAACATAAACCTCTCACTATTGTCCTCTAAACTCTGTACCAATTAGTTCAGTCTTGCCTGTGTCTAACAGGCAAGCTCTTGTGTTCTTTTCCACACAAGGGACTGTTTTTAATCCATTTATTTCTTTCCCTCTGTTTATTCAAAACATCCTAAATACATCGCATATATATCACAACCGAATACTTACCTTCCTCAGAAAGCTTTTCTAGAACATCCTTACTTAATGTTTACCCCTTTGGCATTTGTATTTTCTTATATTTATTAGTACAGATTTATATTATTTGTATTGTTTCCTTTAGTAGAGCATAAATTAATTACTTCAGAGTAAACCCGGATTTTTACACTAAATATAAAAATGTCTAGAATATAGTAACATGGATACTCAAACAATAAAAAGCATGTAAGTGGCCAAGTGCGGTGGCTCATGTCTGTAATCTCAGTGCTTTGGGAGGCCGAGGCAGGCGGGTTACTTGAGGCCAGGAGTTCGAGGCCAGTCTGGCCAACATGGTGAAACCCTATCTCTACTAAAAAATTTAAAAGGTTAGCCAGGTGTGGTGATGCACACCTGTAATCCTGGCTACTTGGGGGGCTGAGGCATGAGAATTTCTTGAACCTAGGAAGTGGAGGTTGCAGTGAGCCGAGATTGCACCGCTGCACTACAGCATGGGCAACAGAGTGTCTATCTCAAAAAAAAAAAAAAAAAAAAAAAAGCATGTAAGTAATTGCTTGCCTGTCTAAGAGTCTATGTGTATGGGGAGATAAAGTACTGTTGAATATGAAACACTATCTTTCACTATGGGAATTTGTGTTTACCCCCTTTTCTCCCATGCTCTGCTTTCTTTTATTTTCTTAGGCCTATCTCCACTAACTCTGGACCCTAAAACAGCTCACCCAAATCTGGTGCTCTCCAAAAACCAAACCAGTGTCTGGCATGGTGACATTAAGAAGGTAATGCCTGATGATCCAGAGAGGTTTGACTCAAGTGTGGCTGTGCTGGGCTCAAGAGGCTTCACCTCTGGAAAGTGGTACTGGGAAGTAGAAGTAGCAAAGAAGACAAAATGGACAGTTGGAGTCGTCAGAGAATCCATCATTCGGAAGGGCAGCTGTCCTCTAACTCCTGAGCAAGGATTCTGGCTTTTAAGACTAAGGAACCAAACTGATCTAAAGGCTCTGGATTTGCCTTCTTGCAGTCTGACACTGACTAACAACCTCGACAAAGTGGGCATATACCTGGATTATGAAGGAGGGCAGGTGTCCTTCTACAATGCTAAAACCATGACTCACATTTATACCTTCAGTAACACTTTCATAGAGAAACTTTATCCCTACTTCTGCCCCTGCCTTAATGATGGTGGAGAGAATAAAGAACCATTGCACATCTTACATCCACAGTAATGAGTCATACTATTATACAAATTCAGAGTGTTATTAAAGAGGTATTGAAATATTTTACCAGTCTCACTGTCTCACTGGATTCTCTTCTCAATTTACGGGGAACTATGGAATACTGAAAAGAGGATGCACAAATCAAATTCCATTCTTTCAGTATCCTAAATGGATTTCACTGGAGCCTTTCAAGATATCATTCTTCTCTGGGGTCTTTCGTGACACAGGAGCCACTCTCATGACAGTGATCATCATGCTACTGTTACTGGAGCAAACTGCAACTTGAGTTTGTGATGTTTGGGAACCCTTTTCAAATATGCCCAGAAATTATCATGCTGTCATATTTTCCAGCATAATGACCCTTAGCAGATGAATTTTCAGGAGTTCACTCTTCTTACTATTTATTTTTTGATATATATTTTCATCTTAGTTCTTTTTTTAGAACTCACTGCTGTAATTTTATTTTATTTTATTTTTTTGAGACAGAGTCTTGCTGTGTCTCTGTCTAGGCTGGAGTGCAGTGGCATGATCATGGCTCACTGTAGCCTCAACCTCCTGGGCTCAAGCAATCCTCCTACCTCAGACCCTGAGTAGCTGGGACTATAGGTGCACACCACCACAAGTAGAGATGGGGTTTCACCATGTTGCCCAGGCTTTTCTGGAACTCTTGGGCTCAAGAGATCCTCATGCCTCAGCCTTCCAAAGTGTTGGAATTATAGGTGTGAGCTACCATGCCTGTCCTGTAATTTTAAACCATGCTCCACAGGCTTAAATAAAAAAGTAGGAAATGATCTGGACTAGTTTATAATCTTGCCTTGAATTCTTTCAAAATACATTTTAGTCCAGCAAATCTGTGATTCTTTCCCTTCCTTTCTCAGTTCCATTTCTCTGCTTTATCTATCTGCAGGAGACATGCATATATATGCAGTCTGAGAGATGGGGTCTCATTATGTTGCCTAGGCTAGTCTTGAATTCCTGACCTCAAGCATCCTTCCACCTTGATCTCCCAAAGTTCTAGGATTACAGATGTGAGCCACCACACCCCACCTCCATCTACTTTTGACTACATCCTTTTTCATCATTCCTGCCTATAATTTAAGTAGTATTTTGCATCTTGTTCTCTCCAACATACTCATCCTTGAGCTTGTTCCAAGTCTAAAATTCTCAACATCATTGATCTCAGCAGTACTCTTGATTGATTGTCCCTATTTCCTTTCTTTGGAAGTCCTCATCTAAATGGGCTTTATTCTCGATAGCTGACAGTTTTGGGGGGACTTTTTAGGACCTTCAGCATTGGTCCTCTAAAATTATAATTAGCACAGTTTTTGGTTTTCTTGGGGGGTCAGGGCAAAAACTTAAATGTGTGTATGTGAAAAATAATGCAAATGCTACGGGCAATATTCATGTAGTTTGTTATATACAATATGCATACATTTACAACTGATTTGGATACACAGCCATAACAGGATTAAGACTACATTTAAGAAATTGTCTTTTTTTTTTTTTTATGATTTCACTTCAATCAGAACGTAGTAAGAACATGTTTTGTGCCTGGAATCTTACTTAATGTCTTAAAGGGTATAAAAGCAGCATAAAAAGAACGGCATGCCAATAGAAAGTAATCTGACTAAAAATTCACTTCTAAGGTATAAAAAGTTACAGCTGAAATATATTATTATTATTTTTTAAGACAAGGTCTTACTCTGTCACCCAGGCTGGAGTACAGTGGCACGAACATGGCTCATTGCAGCCTGGGACTCTTGGGTCCTCCCACCTCAGCCTCTCAAGTAGCTAGGATTATAGGCACAGGCAACTACGCCCAACTAAATTTTTATTTTTAGTCGAGACGAGGTCTCGCTATGTTGCCCAGATTTGAAATATATTATTCTTAAGATGCAATGGTTCTTAACTCTGAATACACATTAGGTTCACGGAGGAAGCTTTAAAAAAATTTAGATGCCTGGACTCCAGCCAAGACCAAACAAGTAAAGATCTCCAGCAAGTGAAACCCTGCTAGAGTCCCCATGTACAGTGGCTACAGGCTACTAATTTCTAAAAGCTCTCAGGCGATTCTAATGTGTGGCTGGGGCAGACAGCCACTGAACTAAAGCAACATGTTTTATTTATGTATTTATTTTTACTTAAAAAATTTTTTTCTACAAGTTATTGGGGTAAAGGTGGTATTTGGTTACATGAGTAAGTTCTTTGGTGGTGATTTGTGAGATTTTGGTGCACCCATCACCTGAGCAGTGTATGCTGCATCATATTTGTAGTCTTTTATCCCTCGCCCCCCTTCTATTCTTCCCTCCAAGTCCCCAAAGTCCATTGTATCATTCTTATGCTTTTGCATCCTCATAGCTTAGCTTGCACATATCAGCGAGGACATACAATGTTTGGTTTTCCATTCCTGAGTTACTTCACTTAGAATAACAGTCTACAATCTCATCGAGGTCACTGCAAATGCCGTTAATTCATTCCTTTTTAAGGCTGAATAGTATTCCAGTGTATAAACATACCACAGTTTCTTTATCCACTCTTTGATTGATGGGCATTTGGGTTGGTTCCATGATTTTGCAATTATGAATTGTACTGCTATAAACAGGCATGTGAAAGTATCTTTTTCATATAATGATTTCTTTCCCTCTGGGTAGATACCCAGTAGTAGGATTGCTCGATCAAGTAGTTCTACTTTTAGTTCTTTAAGGAATCGCCACACTGTTTTCCATCGTGGTAGTACTAGTTTACATTCCCACCAGCAGTGTAGAAGTGTTCCCTGTTCACTGCATCCATGCCAACATCTACAGTTTTTTGATGTTTTTGAGTATGGTCATTCTTGCAGGAGTAAGGTGGTATCGCATTGTGGTTTTGATTTGCATTTCCCTGACCATTAGTGATGTTGAGCATTTTTTCATATGTTTGTTGTCATTTGTATATCTTCTTTTGAGAATTGTCTATTCATGTTCTTAGCCCACTTTTTGATGGGATTGTTTGTTTTTTTCTTACTGATTTGTTTCAGTTTGTTGTAGATTCTGGATATTAGTCCTTTGTCAGATGTATAGATTGTGAAAATTTTCTCCCACTCTATGGGTTGTCTGTTTACTCTGCTGACTGTTACTTTTGCTGTGCAAAAGCTCTTTAGTTTAATTAAGTCCCAATTATTCATCTTTGCTTTTATTGCATTTGCTTTTGGGTTATTGGAAGTAATTCTTGCCTAAGCCAATGTCTAGAAGGGTTTTTGCAATGTTATCTTCTAGAATTTTTATGGTTTCAGGTCTTAGATTTAAGTCCTTAATCCATCTTGGTTGATTTTTTTTATAAGGTGAGAGATGAGGATTCATTCTTCTACACGTAGCTAGCCAATTATCCCAGCACCATTTGTTGAAATGGGTGTCCTTTCTCCACTTTATGTTTTTGTTTGCTTTGTCAAAGATCAGTTGGCTATAAGTATTTGGGTTTATTTCTGGGTTCTCTATTCTGTTCCATTGGTCTATGTGTCTTTTTTTTTTTTTTTTTTTTTTTTTTTTTTTTTTTTTGAGATGGAGTCTCGCTCTGTCTCCCAGCCTGGAGTGCAGTGGTGCAATATCGGCTTGCGGCAAGTTCCACCTCCCGGGTTCATGCCATTCTCCTGCCTCAGCCTCCCGAGTAGCTGTGACTACAGGCGCCCGCCACCACGCCTGTCTATTTTTTTTTGTTTTTTGTTTTTTTTAGTAGAGATGGGGTTTCACCGTGTTAGCCAGGATGGTCTTGATCTCCCGATCTTGCGATCCACCTGCCTCAGCCTCCCAAAGTGCTGGGATTACAAGCGTGAGCCACCGTGCCCGGCCTTCACAAATAATTTTAAAACTATTAACATTTCACTCTTGTCATCATGTGCAGGAGAGCAACTAGTCCTCAGTGGAATACAAATTGTTTCTAGCTGAAGTTTTCTTTTCCTGACATCATGCTTGTTCCCGCACATCCATGATATCCAATCAGGGTATCTCAAACAACATTGCGCCTGGCAATGGAACTCACTTCAGAGTAAAAGAAAGCAGGTGATGACTAATACCAATGGAATTTACCAGGCTTACTATTACTTAATTAACCAGAAGGAATTAGCCTTACAGACCATACAAAATATTTGCTTTCTCCTTCAGATCATGAAACTATTAGACTAAAAATCATTTCTAAAATGTAACTCCTCCATTTCTGACCTGGATAAGATGGCAGATTCTTGCCCTCTCTAGTCCTCTCCACAATGCACAATAATAAACATTGCAAAAATAACTCAAGAGACAATGAAAGGGGGAACTCTGAGAGGTAGAAGACGAGGGTGCATCAGTTTGAGATCCCAGGACTGGAGAAGCGACACAGTGTCAGGGTATCCTATGTCCTTCCAACCTACAAAAGAGGTGATCCAGGTCCAGCATTTTCTGATATGAGCCTAGCAACAGAAGGCAGCCCAGGTAAGCTAAGGTCTCCCCAACATTGCATAGGAGTCCACCTATACCACCACCTGAGCCCAGCAAATAGGGTGGATCAGAAGCCCACTTATATATAAGGGGCCAGGGAAGCTTTCTTCTTCTTCTCTGATGGACCTGAGACTCCCCTCCTCCTTCACCCAGAGACACCATGCAGTCGGAAGGCACCAGAAAGGGAAACACACCAAAAGAAGAGAGCATCAGGACTAACTGAATTTGTTTTGCAGACAATAATGAAAAAGAAAATCCAAAAAGAAATAATTTTTTTGAAAGAATTTACTTTGCAGTCGGACACAAGAAGGTCCTGTAGGCATGGACCAAGTCTATACAGCCATAACTCATGGCCTAGAGAGCCCCTGGAATGTACAGCTACAGACAGCTACTGATACCCATATCCTTGCCCCTAGGGACGTCAGGAAAGAGGGTGTCATCTGCCAGACTGTGTGTGACCATGACTCAGGATTAATTCCCTTCAATCCCTTCAGAGACAAAATGAAATGAGGGATAAGTCATCCCTGACTTTGTTTAAAACACAGCACCCTATATAGGTTTTACAAACATCTTATTTTTTATGGCCTTTTTCTGTTATTTCATTTTTAAGAAACC